AGCTGCAGTTTTTTTTTTTTTTTTCATACCCCAGTGTTGCCTGGAATGCCAGCGAGGCAGAACTGTTAACTCCCCTGGAAAGGGAGTTGAAGTCAGAGAACCAAGTGGTCTACCTCAGTGGATCCCACCACCACAGAGCCCATCAAGCTAAGATCCAGTGGCCTGAAATTCTCACTGCCAGCACAGAAGTCTAAAGTTGACCTGGGATGCTTGAGCTTAGTGGGGGGAGGGGCATCTGCCATTACTGAGGCTTGAGTAGGTAGTTTTCCCCTCACAGTATAAACAAAGACACCAGGAAAGTCAAACTGGGCAGAGCCCACCACAGCTCCGCAAATCTGCTGTTGCCAGATTGCCTCTCTAGATTGCTTCTCTCTGGGCATGCCATCTCAGAAAGAGAGGCAGCATCTCCAGTTGGGGGTTTATAGATAAAACTCCCATCTCTCTGGAACAGAGGACTTGGGGGAAAGGGTGTTTGTGGGCTCAGCTTTAGCAGACTTAAACATTTCTGCCTGCTGGGTCTGAAGAGAACATTGGACCTCCCAGCACAGCACTTGAGCTCTGCTAAGAGACAGACTACCTCCTCAAGTGGGTCCCTGTCCCGCATGCCTCCTGACTGGGAGATGCCTCCAAGCAAGGGTTGACAGACATCTCACACAGGAGAACTCTGGCTGGCATCTGGTGGGTTCCCCTCTGGGATGAAGCTTCCAGAGGAAGGAACAGGCAGCAATCTTTGCTGTTCTGCAGCCTACGCTGGTGATACCCAAGCAAACAGGGTCTGGAGTGGACCTCCAGCAAACTCCAGCAGACCTGCAGCAGAGGGGCCTGACTGCTAGAAGGAAACCTAACAAACAGAAAAGAGTAGCACGAACATCAACAAAAAGGACATCCTCACAGAAACCCCATTTGAAGGTCACCAACATCAAAGGCCAAAGGTAGATAAATTCACGAAGATGAGGAAAAACCAGCACAAAAAGGCTGAAAATCCCAAAAACCAGAACGCCTTTTCTCCTCCAAAGGATCACAACTCCTCACCAATAAGGGAACAAAACTGGACCAAGAAAGAGTTTGACAAATTGACAGAAGTAGACTTCAGAAGGTGGACTAGAATAACTCTCGGTAAATTGGGATAAAAAGAAATTTTCTCAACTTAAAGAATATCTACAGAATAAAGCAGAAGCAGGAGACGGAAAAAGATGAGAGTCCTCACCTAGTTCACCTAGTTCAACTTTCTAATTCCATAGTTTCTGAGACCGATGTGCATTCCTTCCCTTTAGCTCTGTAGAATTTTTTACAATCACAATAGTTTTAACCTATTTCAAATTATGTTTTTGAAAAGTTGCTATATTATGGTCTTTAAAAAATAAGAGAAAGAAAATGGAATACTATGAAGAATTCTATGCCCACAAATTTGGTAACATAGATGAAATAAACCAATTCGTTAAAAGACAAAACCTGCCAAAACAATTTGGCCATTTAAATAGGACTCTATCTATTAATTAAATTTAAGGAGAAAGAGGCAAATTAAACAGAACTATATCTGTTAAATAAATTGAATCAATAATTAATAAACTTTCAGAACAGTTAGCACTGGGCCTAGATGGGTTCAGTGATCAATTTTGTTAAATATTTAAGGAAGAAATTATACCAATTCTCTATAACCTCTTTCAGAAACCGAAGTGGAGGGAATGCTTCCTAGCTCATTTTGTAAGGTTGGCATTATCCTAATACCTAAACCAGACAACAAATTACTAAAAAAGAACACCACAGACCAGTATCTCTCATAGACATACATCTTAAAATCATCAGTAAAATATTAGCAATCAAATCCAAGAATGTATTAAAAGAATTATATTTCATGACCAAATGGAGTTTATTCCAGATATGCATGGCTGGCTCAAAATTCAAAAATTAATTAATATCATCCATCACATCAATAGGCTAAATGAGAAAAAAAATCATATGATCATTTCAATCGATACAGAAAAAGTATCTGACAAAATGTAACACTCATTTATGAGTTTTTAAAAATTCTCAGTAAACTGGGATAAAAAGAAAGTTTCTCAACTTAAAGAATATCTACAAGAAACTCTGCAGCTAACATCATAATTAATGCTGAAAGCTTTCTCACTATGATCAGAAACAAGGCAGGGATGACTCTTTTCACCGCTGCTTTTCAACTGGAATTTCTAACTAATACAATGACAAGAAAAAATAAATAAAATGGATAAAGATTGGTAATGAAGGAATAAAATTGTCTTTGTTCATACATGACATAATTATCTATGTAAAGTATCTGAAGGAATTGATAAAAAAAAAAATAAGGAATTAGTTTTGTATGTTAACCTTGTATTTTATAAGTCAATCACTTTCCTATAAGCCAGCAGTGAACAAGTGGAATTTGAAAGTAAAAACACAATACCATTTATATTAGCATCCGCAAAGTGAAATACTTAGGTATAAGTCTAACAAAATATGTGCAACATCTATATGAAGAAGATGATGAAACTCTGATGAAAAAGAATCAAAGAAAATCAAAGTAAATGGAGAGAGACCTTGTGTTCGCAGCTAGGGTGAATCAATGTTATCAAAATGCCAGTTCTTCCCACTTGATCTATGGATTCAACACAATCCCCATCATAATCTCAGCACGTTATTTTATGGATATAAACAAACTGATTTTTAAGTCTATCTAGAGAGGCAAAAACTCAGAATAGTCAACACATTGAAGGAGAACAAAGTTGGGGGCGTGACACTATCCAATTTCAAGATTTACTATAAAGCTACAATAATCAAGACAGTGTGGTATTAGCAAAAGAAGACATATATAAGTAAATGAAACCAAATAGAGAGCCTAGACTTACATAAATATTATATTTGGCAAATTAGCAAAGGCAATACATTGGAGTCTTTTGAACAAATGGTATTGGAACAACTGGACATCCATATGCAAAAATAAATTGAATCTAGATAAAGATCTCACACCTTTCACAAAAATGTACTCAAAATGGATCAGTGACCTAAATATAAAATGCAAAATTAAAAAAAAAATCCTAAAAGGTAACATAAGAGAAAGTATAAATGACCTTTGGTTTGGCAGTGACATTTTAGCTATCACAGTAAAGGAATAATCCATGAAGTAAAGAATTGATAAGCTGGACTTCGGAAAAATTAAAAATTTCTACTCTGTGAAAGACACTGCCAAGAGAATGAAAAGACAAACCACATACTAGAAAAAAAACAAAGTCATCCTTGTTACAAATAGGGGATTGGCTCAATCACCCCATGGATACCAAAATCCGCAGATGCTCATATACATTGTATAAAATGGCTTAGCATTTGCAAATAACCGCCTGTATTCTTTAAATCATTTCTAGATTACTTATAATACCTAATACAATGCCTGTATATCACTACATCCTGCAAATTCAATGTAGTATGGCAAATTCATGTTTTGCTTTTTAGAAGTTTGTGGAATTTTTTCCAAATATTTCCAATCCATGGTTGGTTGAATCCACAGATTTGAAACCCATGGATACAGAGGGCCAACTGTATTATAGCAAAAGACATATTCAATAAAAGACTGTTATCCAAAACACATAAAGAACTCTTAAAACTCAGCAATATGCAAGGAAACAACCCGATTTTAAAACAGGTTAAAAATCTTAACAGACACTTTATCAAAGAAGACATATGTGGAAAATGTATCTATGTATGGAAAATAAGCATATGAAAAGATGCTCTACATCATATGTCATCAAAGAAAGGCCAACTAAAACAATAATGAGAACTACTACACACCAAAGGTGAAGAGTGGACCAACAGGTACTCTTATTAATTGCTAGCAGGAATGTAAAGTGGTGCCTCTACTTTGAAATACAGTTTGGCAGTTTCTTACAAAACTAGGCAATCTCTTACCGTGCGATCCAAACATGTTTTTTCTTATTTACCCAAAAAGTTAAAAACTTATGTTCATACAAAAACCTGTGCATGGATGTTAATTGCAGCTTTTTTAATAATTGCCAAAACTTGGTAGCAGCCAAGATTTTTTTTAGCAGGCAAATACATAAATAAACTGTGGTATAGTCAAACAATGGAATATTATTCAGCACTAAACAAATGAGCCATTAAGACATGAAAAGTCATGGGGACAATTAAATGCATATTTTTAAGTGAAAAAAGCCAGTCTGAAAATGCTGTATACTGTAACATTCCAATTATATAACACTCTGGAAAAGACACAACTATGGAGACAGGATATCAGTATTGCCTGTAGTTAGCTGGCAGGGAAGGATGAATAGGTAAAACAGAGAGGATTTTTAGGGCAGTGAAATTAGTCTGTAAAATGCTGTCATGGTGGAGATATGTCATTATGTATTTGCCTGAAAACATTAAATCCAATCCCAAGAGTGGCCCCTAATGCAAACATTGGACTTTGGGTGATAATGATGATGTTTAAAGGTAGGTTCCTTAATCGTAACAAATGTACCACTGTAGTCAGGTATGTTGATAATGGGGGAGGCCTTGCGTGTGTGGGAGCAGAGGTTACATGGAAAATCTCTGTACCTCCCACTAAATTTTGCTATGATCCTAACAATTCTCTAAAAAATAAAGTCTATTAACTTTTCTGTTTCATTGTTAATTATAATGGCAAACAAAAATTTTGGAGACAATAGGGTTGAGAGAGGATATGGAAAATATATCATTGACACCTATTAAGAGATGCTTATTAACAAGTGCTCTGGGATAATAATCTAGGTTTCAAAAGTTGAATAAAAAATTTTTTAATAGACCATGGGTTTGTTTAGTGATCCCATTCTTAAAATAGGTACTCAATAAGCATAGGAATAATTTCAGAATGAAAAATGTATCAACACTCTTAAATATAATATCATTTAGATAATACAGATAATGCATGAGACAATTCAAGATCCTAAAATGTAAACCCTATATGGACATCAAGCACCCCCCTACTAGAATTATCATTAAAAGATGCACACTACCTAAAGTGAGATTCTCCTTGCTATTCTGCAGTATTAATGAATTGTTTGGTCGAGCAGCACCTTCCGCTTCTGAATGTATGCATTCTGAAAAAGGCAAAGGGGGTAGAGAGAGAAATATGCATTAATAGATCTGACTCCTAGTTAAAATCATATTTTTTCACATTCTTCAGACTATTTTTGTATTGCAGATGCCAATGAATATCTAAATTATGACAGCTAAGCAAAAGTCTCGGCACAATGTGTCCCAGAATGCACTTTTGACTTGCTTTTCCTCACTGATTGGCATAGTCCTGCTTTAAGCCCAGCGTACCCATCATCCCCCTCTTGCTTTATATGCAAGTCTTCTTCCAGGCTTATATGCATTTAGTCTATCTCTGAGTGTGGAATAAAATGATTTACTGTCTTTTACAGGCTTTTCAAGCACCAATGAGAAGGTAGAAAAAGTTTAGTGGTGACGTATTGATTGGATGCTTGTATGGAACAAAAGGATTTTCCTAAACATCACTGAAATCATATCACAGAGTCTCTGATGGGAAAAAGGTCCCCAACCTTTTTGGGACCAAGGATCCATTTTGAGGAAGATAATTTTTCCACAGACACGGGGAAAGGGAGGGCAATGGTTCCTGGATGAAACTGTTTCACCTCCAATCATCAGGCATAAGTTAGATTCTCATAAGGAATGCACAAGCTTGATTCCTGGCATGCACAGTTCACAACAGGGTTCATGCTCCTATAAGAATCAAATGCCTCCAACTGATCTGACAAGAGGTGGATTCAGGCCACAATTCTCACTCACCTGCCACACAACTCCTGCTGTGCAGCACAGTCCCTAATAGGCCAAGGACTGGTACCAGTCTGCAGCCCCGGGGTTGGAGACTGGTGATATAGACAATGGCCTATTAAGTTTACATTTTTGTAAAACAAGCTCTTAGTAGGAATTGGTAGTACACATCTTTTAAGCAGCAATTATTGGAAAAGTACTCTGCTAGGCACAGAGATATCATAATAAACAATACCCACTTTTTTCCAAGAGTTTAAGATCCTGGAGAGACAGCAGCTAGGGAAACAATTGTAATGTAAAGTTTTCAGTGCAGTGATCAAAGTTGCATGTGATGTACAGAAGTTTAAAGAAGAGATGTTTAAATTCCAGGAAAACAGGAGTAAGAGATTAGGAAAAACTTTCCTATACTGAGTAATGTTTTAGCTGGATCTAAGTACATGAAGAGTTTTCCAAGAAAATAGAAGGGAAAATGTGAACAAAAATAATGGCATTTGAAGAAGGTACAAAGCCAAATAAAAATTTACAAGAGTTATAAATAGTTTAGTATTGCCATGAAGCAAGAAAACCTGGCTGCGTAATTGGAGTTGAGGCTGGCTATAGGCAGGCTCTAACTGTGCAAGGCACAAAGCTCCTAGAATGTGTTCACAAGGAAAAGATACGCTCGTAGCTTATCAATAGCGAGTGTATCTGACTAGCAAAGAGAAACATTTTAGAGTAAAATTTAATGCTCAGTGTTATTCTGAAAAATTTTTTAATCTAGTGCCCCTCTCAGCTGCCATTTTCTTTAACAAACTGTTCTTTTAAGATAATAATTTATTGAGCGAGTAGAGTAGGAATAGAGTTTGGGTAATTTGCTTATGTTCTTTATTTCCATCTCTCTAGGAGTAGCAGATATTAATATTCTCATTTTACAGATAAAGAAATGTAGATTAAGTGATTAAACAATTTGACCAAGACTACCTGGCTAGTAAGCTGCGTCAGTTGCCCAGTTATAAATCTTAGTGCAAGTAAGCCTTACTTGCAATTACATGAGTAGAAATCACAGGTTAGACCATAAGAAATATGCTAGGATATATACACAATCCAAATTAACCCAAATTGAAGTGAGTCTAAGCCATGTTATTGCAAGGGCACTGAGAGACAAACTTTTGAAAGAGCAGATCTAATGGCAAGTCCATAAAATCAGGATTACCAAGGCATCTGGACACAGACACTATGAATTCTAGATCTGAATGGGATTGGTTAAGTTAGGGAAGAGACAATTGTCAGAATTCATGGGCTTAGAATAATGGCTTGCACAGCTCCCTGGTACATGGCTGGATCAAGCTGGATTAAAAATAAAGGTCAACCCAAACCTATAGTGAACCAGACTAAACATATGGACAGAGAGTTTATGGAAAAATAAGTAAAAATGTCTCTTAGTCATATGAAAAGATATTCCACGTTAATCATGGTAAGAGGAATACAAATTAAAAGTATTTGGAAATACCATTTCTCATCTCTAACTGGCAAAATCCAAAAGTTTAACAACATACACTGTTGGGTGTGGTTGTGGAGAGATAGGTATGTCTGTATGTTGGTATTGTTCAATTTTTTAATGAGGAAGAAAGGAGATATAGATGTAAAATAAGTAAGTTTAAAGCACTTCGGGAAGCCGAGGTGGACAGATCATGAGGTCAGGGGATCAAGACCATCCTGGTTAACATGGTGAAACCCCATCTCTACTAAAAATACAAAAAATTAGCTGGGCATGGTGGCAGGTGTCTATAGTCCCTGCTACTCGGGAGTCTGAGGCAGGAGAATCACTTGAACCCAGGAGGCAGAGGTTACAGTGAGCTGAGATCAGGCCATTGCACTCCAGCCTGGGTGACAGAGCAAGACTCCATCTCCAAACAAACAAGCAACAGCATCAAAAAAAACCTCAGTCCTAAATTTTAATCAAAAGTATGAATATCAACTCATGATGTATTTTTATCTTTCAAAATACATATATCTTATCTCCTGCTATGTTAAGGGATAATTCATTACATAGTTATAAACAACTAATATAGTTATCAACCACATTGACCTCATTGATATTTTTAGAACCTAACCCAGCATCTGCAGAATACATTCTTTGCAAGTGCACATCATATATTCACTGAGTTTGACCACATTCTGTGCCACAAAACAAGTCTCAAAAACTTTAAGAAACTGAAGTTATATAAAAAATGTTCTCCAACCAAAACAGAATTAAATTAAAAATCAATTGCAATGAGATTTTTAAGAAAATACCAAATATTTAGAAATCAAACACATTTCTAAGCAACCCTTTGCTCAAAGAGGAAATTCATAAAGAAGTTAGTTTTCACTGGATAATGAAAATACAACATACAAATTTGAAATAAGCAGCTAACCCAGTGGATTTAGAAAAAGTAATACCTTGAGGTGCTAATTTTAAAGGAAGAAATGTGTGCAATTCACCCATAGAAGCAAGAAATAAAGGAGAGAAAAGACAATAAGAAATCTAAGAGCAGAGATAAATAAAATAGGAAACAAGCAATGCAAAAAATTAAGGAAACAAAACCTGGTTTTTTGAAAAGATCATCAACATTTATAAACCAACAACTAGACTGATCAAGAAAAAAATAGAAACACAAATATCTAATATCAGAAAGGAAAGAAGGGCCATTCATATAGATTTACATTCGTGAAAGGAAAAGTGAGGGAATCTTATTAACAATATTATGCTAATCAAATTAAGTGACAGTTGAAATGGACAAGTTCATTGAAAACAAAGCTTTTGAAACTTAAGAATTAAAAAAATTTGAAAACCTTATGTCTTTAAAAAACTGAATTTGTTGATAAAAAGCCTTCCATCAAACTGGCTACACTGACAAATTTAAGCAAACACGTAAGGAAGAAGTAATATTAATTTTACAGACAAATCCTTTTAGAAAATCAAGGAGACAACACTTTCTAACTCATTTTATGAAAGTAAAATTAACCATAGATCAAAACCATATAAACACATTACAAATTAAAAAACAATGACTAGCAACACTTACAAATGATACAAATTTTTTTCACAAAATATTAACAAATCAAATATTGCACTATGTAAGAAGTAAAGTATTAGGTATATAATTTCCACAGATATACTTTAACAGTTTGAGGAAGTTTTTTTCTCTTCTCTAGAACTAATTGAACTTAGTAAAGTAATAATATAAAATACAAATACTATTTCAAAACAATTATTGTTTTCTATACTAGCACAAAGAATTGAAAAATGAAATTTTTCAAATGTTTACGCTAATGAAAAAAGGTAATAAAAGATGTATAAGACCTGTACACTGAAAACTATAAAATATTGCAGAGTAAATTCAATAAATCCTGTATAATGGAAAGTCCCAATATTATTAAGATGTCAATTCTCCTCAAAAACAGTCTCAATCAAAATGTGGTAGTCTTTTCTGTGGAAATTGCATGATGATTCTAAAATTTATATATAAATGCAAACCTGGAATAGCCAAATCTATTTGTTTTAAAAGAATAACAAAAAGAAAAAAAAAAGAGAGAGAGAAATCTACTTAAGTTTAAGCTTCACTCTGAAGCTACAGTAATCAAAACAATCTGGTATTGGCTAAAAGATAATCACATTTATCAGTGAAATATAATACATAATCCAGAAATAGACACATACATATATACTTTATTGATTTTATCTCCTTGGTTAAATTTATCTCTTAGTACTTTATTTTCTGTAGCTACTAAAAATGAGGTTTTAAAAAAATTTCTTTCTCAGATAGTTCACTGTTAGTGTATAGAAAAACTACTGATTGTTAATGTTGATTTTGTATCCTGCAACTTAACTAAATTCATTTTTTAGTTCTAAGAGTTTTTGGTGGAGTCTTTGAGTTTTCCATATATAAGGTGATGTTGTCTGCAAACAGGAACAATTTGACTTCTTTATTTTCTCTCTGGATCCCTTTATTTCTTTCTCTTGCCTAAATGCTCTGGCTAGAACTTCCAGCATTATGAGGAAATATTATTAACAACTTTATGCTTCCAGTACCACGTTGAATAAAAGTGGCAAGAGCGGGCATCCTTGTCTTGTTTCTGATCTTAGAGGTAAGGCTTTCATTTTCCCCCACTAAGTGTGATATCAGCGGTGAATTTTTCATATACAGTATAACCATTATTGTATTGAGGTACCTTCCTTCTATGCCTAATTTATTGAGAATTTTTATCATGAAAGGATGTTGAATTTTTTTAAGGCTTTTTTGCATCTGTAGAAATAATCATATGGTTTCTGTTCTTAATT